GGAGTTTTATTATAAAGACTTTCAGTTTATCCATTACAGCCTTGTTTTCATCCATGTTAAATTCAATATTGCGTCTAACCTGCCAAATGTTTATTGTGGTGTTTTTATCAGCTATTTGGACTCTCATTCTGACAGCACCCATTCACTGCAGAGGATCCATTGCTGACCAAGTGATGGAATGCTACATTTCTCCAAATCTGTTGTGATGAAAAAACAAACTCATCTAAATCTCGATGGCCTGAGGGTGAGTAGATTTTCAGCAAATGTTCATTTTTGGGTGAACTATTCCTTTAAAGAATATGAGTGTGTGAGAAAGAGTAGATGATTGCAGCTGGCACACTGACCCACTAACACTGCAGCTCACACACAAACGCGCACGCGCACAGACACACACACACACACACACAACTACACTACAGCTGTCTCTACCTCTCTTACACACACACACACACACACACACACACACACACACACACACACCCTACAACAAAAAGAGTACATAAAAGGACTGCCTTTGACTACATTCTAAGTCTATTGAAGTCAATATAGATGAATGTAAAGAACAGACCAAAAATTAAGTTCACTTTTACTGAACATCTCCCATTTGTTGTAAAGTCTTGTTCAAACGTTTGCTTCATAGTATTTAGTCAGTGGTTTCCAGCAACTGTTTGGTTTCCCACATTCTTCAAAATGTCTTCTTTTGTGTTCAACAGAAGAAAAAAAAATTCCTATAGGTTTGGAATAACTTGAGGGTGAGCAGATGAGGACATAATTTTCATTTCTGAGTGAACTATCACTTTAACACACAGTAGTATGAATTACTTTTATGGGCTTTTTAAGGCTACACACCTTCACTTTCAAGAAAAAGTCCAGTTTAAGCTTTAACACCTTCAGCATTTAGAGTCACAAGGGTTAATAAATGTTGACACAGCATTAATTTTAGGGTGAACTATTGCTCTAATTAATTGTTAATGATTATATTGATCATCTATTGGGCATATTTACAAACTTTCTAATTTTTTACAAATAGTTTAGGAATATAGTACACTACCGTTCAAATGTTTGAGGTCATAGGGTTTTTATTTATGTATAATTTTATTTATTTTTTTATTTTAGAAAATACTTTATATTATTTTAATACTTTAATTTATTCATCTGCTCAAAAGTGACAATAAAGACATGTATAACGTTACAAAACATTTATATTGCAAATAAATTCCATGCTTTTGAACTTTCTGTTCATCAAAGAATCCTGGAAAACATTTATCACAATTTCCACAGAAATATTAAATATTTCCACATAAATAGAGTGTTTCTTAAGCATTACAACTGTTTTTAATATTATATAATAATAATAATAATAATAATAATAATAATAATAATAATAATAATAATAATAATAATAATAATAATAATAATAATAATAATAATAATAATAATAATAATAATAATAATAATAATAATAATAATAATAATAATAATAATAATAATAATAATAATAATAATAATAATAATACATGTTTCTTGAGCAGCAAATTAGCATATTAGAATGATTTCTGAAGGATCATGTGATACTGAAGACTGGAGTAATGATGCTGAAAATTCAGCTTTGCATTACCGCAATAAATTATATTTTAAAATATATTCAAATAGAAAACAGTTATTTTAAACCGTAATAATATTTAACAATTTTGCCATTTTTACTGTATTTTTGATCAAATAAATGCAACCTCAGTGAGCAAAAGCGACAAAACATTAAATCTGCCAACCCCAAACTTTTACACATAGCGTATCTGTCCCACTTCTTCCTTATTATCTCACTGTGACTGGATGGGTCAGATTTCTCAACACCAAGTAGATGTTGGTAAGCTGCATAAACATAAGAAGTTGTATTTTGGGTTCATAATATGTTCTGATTTCATTTTCTATAAAATGTCCCTGTAATTTTGCCTGGATTCATTTCCTTCTCTCTCTTCTGAGGAACATGCAAAATCCTTTCCAGAGGATTTTGTTCCACCTACATCCCCTCAGTTTCCCCGTCCACCCACCAGGCCGTGGGGGCTCATTTCCCTGTGTGAAGATCATGGTGTGCTGAATGACAGCAGGGATCTTTGGGTGGCAAACACGTTCCTGACATACCAGAGGCGGGGGGTCGGGGCACTGCATGTCATCCTTCCAGCGCTGGGTGGGGCATTAAAACCATGTGGCATTCCAGCACTTCTGCTGCTACGGGAATGTTCCGGCTTCAGGATGAGTTAAGCTCTATCAACAGCGTCTGTGATACAATATCGATTAGCACAGAAAGAATGTTGTCTCCCTTGGGCAAAAAAAAAAAAATGCATGTACAATAAAGCACTTACAGTAGACACTTCAATTTTTAACCCTGTAAAGCCTGAAATATAAAATAATAGTGAGATTTTTTATTTTTTTTTTCTAATAGAACAATTTATTGAACCTTTGAACAACATGTTTTTAAAGGTTTGCATGTTGAGTGTCATATTTGATGTATCTTTTATAGCTCAAATAGTGAGAAAATGGAGCTCATACTCAAGGAGGAAAAACCACATCAATTTTATTCAGCAAAAATGTACAATTTGGTGCAGATGCTGATATTTATATGCCCAAAAAGTAAGTTGATGTTTTATAACAGTATAACTCCCTTTGTTTTATGATCAAAGCTCTGTAGTTACATATATATGTACATATACTGCAATGCCATACAATGATGACTGTGAGACCAGCGTTCCTCAAAAGCCTGATTTTTCTAAAAAAATAAAATAAAATAAAAAAGATTCATGTATAATCAAGTAAACCTTTAGTCCAGTAAATGTTCATCTTGAAATATAACCAACAATATAAAAGTTATTCTTACATTTACATTATAAAAGTATTATAAAAGTATAAGTATATAAGTCAAAATTTCACAAGAGAAAGACAACCTGAAGGTGGATGTTTTAAAAATTATACTAAAATACCTTTTACTTGTACTAGTGTTGTGTGAAAACTAAAAATGACTCATTCCTGTTACACTGCAATTTAAAGAAGTATTTTTTTATAAAAGAGTAGCTCAAGCAATTTAATTACAACTTGACTATTTACACAACAGCAAGAAAAGCAACAGATTGGAAACAGAGAGCTAATGTTAGCCATTGCTCAGTGAGGGACTGAGAGTTTAACTTTTGAAATGGTGATTTTATCAAACCAATTTTACTTTCATTTTTCCAGGATGAAGAGTTCTTGCAAACCAGCTAACAAAACGTCACATAATCTATTAAATCCACTGCTAATACTCACTAATGCTGGTGCTGGTGCTGTTGCTTTCCCTCCAAAATGATGTCACTTCCCATGCGATGATGTCATCACAGCACTGGTTTAGTTAAAGGGATCAGTTCACAAAAGACTAAAAGAAAGGGAAATGATATTGGAAAAACTTGGAAATTCATTAACAATTGCAACAAAAGTATCATGAAACATGTTTAGTTTTAAAAAAATTAACTAGAGAAATTCAATGAGAACTTTAGAACAATATACAGACTATTTACATAACACATATAAATACCAGTTTTCTCTATAGTTCCCAGTAATATAATATGATATGCTTAGTTTTTCATGTAAGACTTTGCAAACATGACACAAATGAAATCCTTAACCAAAGCAATGAGATTATTTAAAATTCAATCCTATGTACATGACTTGTTTTTATATTTCATCAGATATTAAGACATATGATGAGGATATGGACGTTTACTGTTCAAAGCATCAATAAAATCCCTAATAAAGCCCTATAGTAGTCCATGCATCCAGAGGTGTAAAGCTGCGGATCCAGTAATCTGCTGGAGTGTGTGTAGTGGTGTGGTTGAATGGGGCAGATGAAGCTCCAGCCCTCTGACACAGATTGGGTGGCGTAGCTGCTGGGTGGAGTCACGCAGACAAATACTCACACTTGTAGCTGTGAAACTCTTAGTTTGCTCTCCCCGCAGAGTCGTGTGGATTTACTACCAGAAAGCAGCCTTTATTTGTGTCTGCTGAGCACAGCAGATTAAAAAACACGCCAGGAATCTAAACGCTCGCTCACCGTCTCTACTGTGTGGGTTTGAATTTAAGGACCCTCTGGGTTTTTTTCTGCCTTTATTTTCATTTTTAACTCTTTGAAGAAGACACAAAGGAGGATGGGTGCTCAGTTGACTAAAGGTGAAGCTACAGTGGACGGAAAAGCCGTGGCTGAGAAAGCCAATGGTCAGGTGAGGATCTACAAGCACATTTATGATTAAACTATCAGCTTTCTGCTATATCTAAATGGGATCTCAATACATTTTTTTTGCCTTTCAGTAGCCTAATACCATTTATCCAACAATACACATTTTACAATTTAATCTTTGAATTTGTGTTACATTTTTTGATTATCAAATTGGTTATGTCTACAATATCATTTCAGTTCTGAAGGAGGCTTTTGTGTTGAACATTTGTTTTTATTTTGAGGGTTTGAATTTATTTTTTTTAACCTCTCTCTCTCTCTCTTATCTGTTTTTTTAATGTCTTTTAAACCCATTTTAGTTAGTTTAGTTAGTTATCAAGCAGACTCTGTGGTTGTGTGTTGGCGCTGAAGCTGGCAGTAACCCGAATTGAGAACAAAAGGTTGCAGAGCTGCATACAAATGATGCAGAGCGCTTCTGCTGATCTGCAAACAATGCAATGCATGCGTGAGTGTCTGCGTGTGTGAATGCATGGACCATTCCTCTGGTACTTCATTAATAATCATTCTACCCATTCCCCTTAATGCATATGCGCCCTTCCCCCTCCATATGTAATAAGAGAGCTCTTTTCTTTATTAATCAACTCAGTGCATTATTTTGCATATCTTTATGCATATGATTTAAACACCCCAATACTTGCACAGACTACGTTACTGTATTTCAAGGCTATAGTGCTCGGCTGATACATCATCTGAATGGCTAGTTGTCAGATATCCTGTAAATGAAAGAAAAAAAGAGGTGTTTTAGAGCGGGATGTTGTTTTAGGGTTGCTGTCTCCCGTTTCTTTGTTCTCTCTGGTAGTGGCTGGTTTTCTAAACTGTGGATTATGTTTAGTGTATCAATATCGCCTCTAGTGGACTCAGTGTGTAATTACACTAAGTACTTCTGCTTTTGGGTTTCTGGGTGTTACTTTTGTCTTTAATGTATAACAATCCTCAAGAGTCTTTTCTGATTGAAAAATATACTGTTTTCTAGATGTCCTGAATTAAGCAGTAATTTATATCTATTTTGGCTATTTTAAGGTTTAAGTACTACAGTGATGAGCAGAGTGATCTTTAAATCTCAATTCTTCTAATATTGTTGTATTGTGAGGTTTGCTTTTACATAAAACTGAGATTTTTTTTAAACTAGTGATTTTAATATTTATTTATAAATAAAAATAGAGGTAAATATCCACTGAATGACTTAAAAGTACTTGGTATTGGATCAAAATGAGTGGTAGCTATATGCTGTGAAAATATTGCCAACATATTGTGCTATAAACTATACTATAAAAGCAAGCATTTACTATGACTATAAAAAAAAACATTTACCCCTTTGCTTTTCTCCAGTGTGTGTGCCAAGATGCATTTGGCTTATCTTCCCTCATTCTGCTTTTCTCTTCAGGAAAATGGCCATGTGAAAACCAATGGTGATGTATCTACCAAGCCAGATGGAGAAGCCGTGGCAGCAGATGGAAATGGAACTGCGGAAGTTGCCAAGGAGGAGGCCGCCAAGACGGAGGCGGGAGATGGCATCGAAGCCGCCCCTGCTACCGAAGGCGACGCCGCCAAATCCGACGGCGAAGCTGCAAAGGAAACCAAGAAGAAGAAGAAATTCTCACTGAAGAACTCCTTCAAATTCAAGGGCATTTCCCTGAAGAAGAACAAGAAGGAAAGCCAGGAGGCAGCGGAGCCCGCAGCCACGCCCACTGCCGAAGACAAACCCGAGGAGAACAGCCAGGCTGCTACAGAGACCAAAGAGGAGGAGCCTGCTGCGGCAGAAACCAATGAGACACCGGCACCTGAGGCGGAGCCGAAAGCAGAGGAGGAGGAGCCTAAAGCAGAAGAGCCCGCCCAGGAAACAGAAGCCACACCCACAGAGGAGACCACAAAATCTGACGAGACCCTGGCCCCTGCTGAAGAGACCACGCCCACCACAGCCTCGGACCCGGAGCCGGCTGCAGAGTGACCTCACTTCACTGTGGCAACCTAGACTGTTTATCTTTATCCTTTTTTTCTTTTTGAGATTGAAATATATAAATATATATATATATATATATAAATATATGAGACTTAGGCCACAATCTTAAAGTTACAGCAATACTACAGAGAAACCGAGTTCTTTTACCATCTTTGCTGATAACGGTCAAGAGCGTTTTTTTGGGGAATCGGGCCGGAAATGGCTCTGTGTATGGATTGGAACGACTGATGGAATTTCCGCCTCAGAGGAAGAGCTGCGGATGGAAGAACGTGGCTCCCTGTTCACAGTCTTTTCAGTCATTTTTCTCTTTTAAACTTTATCCGATCCTTGATTTTTCAGGGCTGATGAGTAAAATGACAAATTGTCCTCTTAGGAGATGGTTAGGGGGAGATGTAAAACTACAACAAAAAAAAAACTTTTTTTAAATGTTTGAATAGCTCTACATTCCAATTTTTAGCCCTGAAAACTGTAGGGTGTTAGAAGATCTGGGCAAGTGAATAGGTTTTAGTCTTAGCCTGTTTTTAATGATGTTTTACAGTTTAAATCAGATCCAGCTACACATTTCAAAGTTTATGACAAAGGGGAATTAAACCACTGCTTTTATCAAATATATATATATTTTTGTTCTGTTAAGTCTCTGTACATACATTTTCTGATTCTTTATTTTGCTAACATTTCCAGGTGTTAATAAGATGTTGTACGATTAGGCCAAATAAATGTTTGACCCCCCCCGCCCCCTTGTGTTTGTTTGTTTTTTTTAATTAAATATTTTTCACAAAAAAAGTTATTTAAACAATATCAAACACCTACATCTTCACAAAGAATATGTTATATTAATTGAGCATTGTAAGAATTATGATGCACATTTAGCTGACAAGATCTTTCAAATTCAGATAAAAAGAATGAACTGTATAGTCTGATTACGAATCCTAATTCACAAAAATACGCTAAATGATAGAGAGAAGAAGTAAGTTTCAAATTTTTTGCAGGACAATTCATTCTGCCATTGTTTACTCACCCTCATATCACATGTATTTATTTCTTCGGTGGAACACACAAAATAAAAGTCAATGAAGTCCAACATCTTTCAAAATATCACCTCTTATGTTTCAAGTCTGGAACAACATGAGGGTGGGTAAATGTTAGAAGTTAAATTTTTGAGTGAATGACCCATTATTTGCTAAAAACTGAGCACATATTTTACAAGCTTTCGACAAAGGTTTTTTTGTTTGTTTGTTTTTCAGTCTGTTTCTCTCCATGGCTTGATCCAACAGGATTTATTTTCTTTAGCTACTCAGCAATTAGCTACGCAGCTAATGCTGAGTTCACACTTCACGATTTTAGCCCGATTTTTCACTCGTGAACACAGCAACAACTGAATGCTACCCCAGATAGTCGTTCAGTGTGAAACCAACAGTGATGCGACGTCTTTGAAAAAGTCAAATTAACACAGGCTCAGTTGAGATTGCAAAAACAGCAGGTACAGATGCTGAAAGTTCTTCAGTTTTCTACATTTTTCTCTCTGAGTGTTAAAATGAATGAGCATTATTATGAAATTGAGATCTGGTTGCTAAAGCGCCTCCACTAATGGCTGACATGATGAATGACTGTGCGCTGACCTGGTCCTCCTGCTGAGTCAGGATAGTTACTGCATTCTTAAGCATTTGGTTTCTTTTGAATGCTGCGACTGAACGTGATTTAGTAAAGACGTTTACTAATACAACCTTGAGTGACTTACTGCTTTAACAAAACAGCAACAGCAATAGCAATATGATAAAGTACACTAATGTTAAATGTATTTTATTAATAAAAATGAATAACAATAAATAGTTACTGCATTCTTAAGCATTTGGTTTCTTTTGAATGCTGCGACTGAACGTGATTTAGTAAAGACGTTTACTAATACAACCTTGAGTGACTTACTGCTTTAACAAAACAGCAATAGCAATATGATAAAGTATACTAATGTTAAATGTATTTTATTAATAAAAATGAATAACAATAAACAGTTCTTCCATCAAGTAATAGTTCATCAGCCTGACTACATGCTAAAACTTAGCTGACCCCCCAAAAAACTGTTTATCTCAAATATGATTGTTATCGAACTCAAATCTATAAAATTAAAAATAAAGAAAGAAAAATAATGCAAAACACATTTAATGGTCAGTAAGAAATATGCCTGGTAACAAAGTATAATTTAACCCATGGTTCCTGAGTTTAAAGTATACATTTATCTTATTATTGCACCACCTTATGGCTGACTATCACAACACTCAGACACAACACAAATATAATACATTTTATTATAATCAGCAATTCACTGTTAAAATGACTACTGAAATATTAGCATTTCATTTGTTGTTGATTTGTACAGATGATCTTTGATCATTTAAGCATCTGTACACGTTTATGGCAAAGAAACAGAATAATGAACTTTAATTTCCATTATCAAACAGTTGCAGAATTGTGATTTTTTTGTTATAGCTCCACCTAGTGCTGGAATTAGACAATATTTGGTGTGGCTCTCCTTATTCTTAGTAAAATATGGACTAAATGAATGTCTGACTGACTGACTGAAAAATAAAACAAACTTACATGGACCATGATTTTATTAAAAACATCACCAGAATAATAGTTTTACAAGGCCATATGAATAATTTGTCACACTGAGACCTTTCCTGGTACTTTAGGACATTGTGAAGATACTGGGCTCCACTATGAATTTGGATTGATACTCTTGAGAGAATCATCAGAATCTTCATAACTAAAAATCATCGGTTTTCTTTGCATGCTCCAACTGTTCCTTCAAACAAATGCATGCTTTTAGAAGTAACTTTTCAAATGGAAAGACTTAACAAATCATTGGTTCAAAATCAATGACAAATGGCTCTATACCTAATAACCCATGTTCAAAGTCACTGTAACTTTGCTGATATATCTACTGCTCCAGTCTGGCTATCAATGAGATTATATATTAATATGCAAAGTTGTAGCATCGTTTATTGGATTGATTGATTGATTGATTGATTTTTTATTGAAAAGATAGCCCCTTGAGATGTAACCTCTCATTTTCAAGGGGCTCCTGAAACACATAAACAGAATATTACAACATTAAAAAAAACAACCAAACAAAACATACACAAAAACATAGGATAACCAACTATTTTGTGTGGTGGACAAATTGTTTATTATTATTATTATTATTATTAATACTTTTTAGTGTGACAGTGAGCTTCAGGTGTTCAACATGTTCAGGTGTACAGGATGACATGAATTATCTGCTACAGATAAATATCTCAGTCACTACAATAATAATTCTGTATATTGAAAAGTCATGTTTATTTACAACATAGAAAATATCTAGATAACTGATAATTGCTAACTCAAGATTGATATCTTAAGCAAGTACAAAACATGTGCATATATTATAAATGTGGTTTTGAAAACAATAAATACATTCACGGTCTTCACAGGATGGGCCATTTTCACGTCAACTTTATTTTAAAAGTAAAACAAGCTGATGCAGTGGGTAAAAAGCACAAACACATGAAAGTCAAATATTAAAATCATGTATAATCATTACATGTGTGTCATTGAGAACCCTTTCAACAAGTAACATTTTGTCTACCCACTATTAGTGTAATATATGATGTATAAACCTTTTTGTACATTTTTCCCCTTTTGTACATTTTTAACCACCTTGTAACCACTAAGAAAGCTTAGCAACAACATAGCAACATGCAAAAACACACAGAACACTATAATTTCAAGACGAAGCAAGTATGATTATTGAACTATTGTTACACTTACATAAGTCCAGACTACTCTGTCTGACAAACATCTGTGGAGCTGTAAAAGAAGTAAGAAACCAAACAAAGAATACATGGCCTATAAAATTAATTAGTCGTATTTCTAAATGTGTGTGCATATTTTTCTGGTAGAAAAAAAAAATACTTACAGTTAATGATTCTTTGTTTGGTAATTTGGACATCAGCAACTGTATGCAAAGCTACATCTGCCTGCAGGATTTGTAAAATCAAATTTAAGAGTTTTTAATACCTTTTTAAGACCTGCAAAAATTAATTTAAAAATAAAAATCAATAATTAAACTGTAAAATGACTATAAAAGCATGACTTAATTACAGGTGAGATACAGGTTTTCACAAAAATAAAACATTTACATTTACATATAGTCATTTAGCAGACGCTTTTATCCAAAGCGACTTACAAATGAGGAGAATGGAAGCAATCAAAATAAACAAAAGAGCAATGAAAATATATAATATATATATAAAAATGTATATCTAAAATGATAAACCTCACATTTCAGCTTTTAAACAATTTTTTTAAAAGAAAAGAGACTAGTCAGAATTATGACTTATTATATTAATTTAAAACAGGGTTATATGGGCGGATGGGGGGAAACAGTAGACAGGCTCATTGAAAATCCAATTTGATTCTCTGCCAGTAGGAGGCACTTTTGGAACGTCAAATATAGAACGGTTTCCCCAGAAACGGCTGTAAACACAGCAGCACTGCTCTCATTAACATCAGATAAAGTTGAAATGCAATCGAAACTTTTCTGAAGACACTCGGATTCATTTTAGAGATACATATAAAAACACCTGCGTCGCATCATTGCTTGAATTAGTAAGAGTAAATTGTTTAAAACTATAGCCTATAATGTTGAAAATGTACGAGGAAAGTCCTCTGATGAGTTACCAGGGTAAGCCTATGTTTCAAGGCCCCGGCCCAATTGAACCCCTGCCTATTCCACCCTTAATTTTAGCCATTAATTATAGCCATTCAACATTACAGAATGAAATCCTTTATTTTTAACATTTAATAGGCTTTGATAAATAGTGAACTTAAAACATTCTTCACAAACTATAAACTGTATAGCCTATGCCATAAAATATAAATTGAATATAGATTAATCTTTATTCAAGCTACAAAAGTGAATCAGCGAGCAGAGCAGTGAGTGATTTCTCTTTTTCTTTTGTTTTGTGATTTACATCAATGACAGACTGCAGCAGGTTTCACTTTAGCAGCACTGTCTCTTTAAAACCTGATTCACATGATGTGGTTAACTTTTCTTTTTTTGTCTTACACCGTGTCTACACCGGAGGCGACAGTTGTCGTGTTGCCGCTACAGCTAAAGTCTGTCTACACTGGACGTGACAAAGCGACAAAAATCATTTGAAATTTGTGTCAGTACATCAAAAATAGAACGCAGCAGCAGTTTACTGTCGGGAATTTGTCGCGCCGCACCGCGCCGCATCCAGTGTAGACAGCATAAGGGGCCGTTCACATGTCACGCCTAAAAACGCGTGGAAAACGCTAGCCGCGCCGCTTTTTAGCTTGCGCTCCCGTTGCGTCTGCCATTGCTAAGCAACCATGACCTGCACTCTCCATGATGACGTGGAAGTTTCAGCAAAGGATAATAAAGCAATAAGCCCCAAGAAGCCATGGATTACAGTGAACTTATAGCAGCTATGGGGTGTTGTTAGGCACGACGCTAAGTGTCATAACAGCTAAAACCCCCTTAGCTGTTATAAATTCACTGTAAACCACGGCTTCACGGGGCTTATTGCTTTTATAAAACGGTTATTCCACATACGTAGTAAGGTTTCACAGAATAAAACAGAGCAAATAAAGTGTAATGATATTAATAAAAACAGTATTCTTCCACCAAACAATGTAGTTCCTCAGAAACAGTTGTGGTTCCAACAAAG